GGGGGGGCGGGCGCCGAGAGGGAAGCGTCATGTTCCATAAATTGTACACTTTTAGTTTCATAATTTTGTCCATGTTCAAAAATTATTTAACTATAGAAAAATAAGTAGTAGATGAAGATCTCATGAGTAAGAAAGCCAAATTCCATTAAAATATGAATGCTTGTCTAAACTGTAGATATTTGACAAAATCATAACTGACAGGCTTAGATGAAAAGTATGTTTGGATTTTGGTAAGCAGATTTTGACCCCATAAGTTATATTAACGATTTATTTTGATTACATTTAATATTTTACTGAAAGGCAGTTTGAGTGGGAAGACAAACAGATTTTTATTTTTCCTTTTTAAGAGTCCCAGTTCTGCCATTGTTTTGTGACTCTTGAATCTTAGTACCTCTGAGACTGGTCCCCCGATCGCAAATGAGGTTAAGCACACGACCATCGTATGAGAAATAAATGTGAAAACATTTATAGAAGTACTTGTAAATCATGTAAAATGCTTTCTAAGAAATAATAAAATAGCTAATAGTTTCTTGTTTTGTTTTGTTTTTGGTCAGAGATCTTTCAAAAGTTATCACAGAACAGCTTGCCGAACTGAAGGTCAAATAATTGAGGTAGAGTAGAGACTTTCCTTGGTTCTTTCAAGTAAGAATTCCATCAATGTTTTACTTTTGGGGGGAGGGGTTATTATATTTTGTAATTATTTACGTTTTTTATTTTATCATGTTTGTAGAAAAAAGTTAGTTTAATCTATGAAGAGGTTCTTTTGTCACAAAACTGTCTCAGCTGTTTTTGTGGAGATTATATGTGGCACATTTTTGTAATGTTTTAACCCTTCAAACCACTCTTAAATATATGCTCCTGGTAAACCTGAGGTAGTCATGCCCGACTATACTCCCTGATGTAAGGAAACCAAGGCAAGAAAAAGGAGGCAGTCTTCCCCCTTCAGGTATAGGTTAAAGGAAACCTTACAGGTATTGCAAAATCACTTCCTGGTTGAGGTCCAGAGCAGAATAGTCACATGAGGGCAACAGAAATCAACTGAATTCATTTTTAAAAGAGAAAAAAAAAATGTTTGTTTTGGCTTTAAAAATGAAAGAATAAAACAAAAGCTATTTTAGGATGTACTTGATTTTGTATCGTGGACCAGTTGAAGGGAAGGAGAGGCAGAGGAAAAAGGGAAAAAAGCAAGGTGGTGAGAAGATTCCAATTGGAAGAGGCAAAGACAAGAAGCTGGAAGCAGAATTTAGTAACTTTGTTGTAGTTTGATTGGAAGGTATATTGTCAAACCCTTCTGTTCACCTCCACTGCTGACCCAGAGTATGTCGGTCCTCTTTTCTGTTCTAGTTTGAAGTGTTAGGTATCTAGATAACACTTTGTTTAGTTTGGTCGCTAGAAACCCTTAAAGAGGACGGTTCTTTGGGCGTCCACGGCAGAGTTACCATATGATGATCTGACTGTGCCCAAGCACCTTTAATATCTACTTTCTTCCTCTCTTCCAGCTGCCTTAAAAAAATACTTACAAAGAGCTCCTTCTGCCTCTCATTGGAGCTAAAATTTTACTGTATCTGAAGAAATGTGTCCTTTCTCATTAGATTTTTAAAAATTTGTTATTCCAATACAGATTATTTAAAAAATGAAATCATTCAGAAGGTGTGCTAATAATAGCTATTCTCAGGTGTTTAATTCACTGTTATTTAAAGATTAAAAGTATCAATTTGTCACTGTCATTTAAAGATTAAAACTGTATCAAAATAATGATAAAGCTTTTATCAATTGAGAAAAATTGATCATTATATTTTCTCCCTTCCTATCTTTCAGGTTTTTCCAAACTACCATATTTATCCTCCAACTGCACCTCATGTTGCTTATATGCAACCAAAAGCAAATGCACCTTCCTTCTTCATGGCTGATGAACTCCGACAGGTATATGCTTTCAGAGTTCAGAGTGGAAATACTTAATGTCTGTCGTGCTTTAGCAAAGAACTGGAGAAAGAACAGAGCTCCTTTCAAATTGTATTATTTAATCAAATATGCTGTACTAAAGAAGATAGAATTTAGGGTTTATGAGACTAATTGATATTTATTTAAGGAAACCCATTTTTAAAGAAAATTGCAAGTAACTGTGTTCAGATGTAGAACACGGAGTAGCTATTTAAATGGGCCACCTTTTTGCACGGCACCTCCTGTGCACTGGAAGGTCTCTGAGGTATATAAATAAATAATTTAAATGGTTTCTAACCACTAGACAACTTTTTGCTAATATCTGTAGTAGTTGTTGGCTAATAAGTAGTTTGGCCTAAAGCGAACTTCATTTTTAAGGCAGCTCAATATTTTCTGTAAAGTCGGTTTTATAAAATTATTTAGCTTTTTTGTAAGTGTTAAACAGGTATTATTTGATATGTAGAATTTTATTTTACTCTTAGATTCTCAGAAATGTTTTTATTTCACAGAAGTAAGTTGCACCAGTATAATGTTGGTAGAGTGGATTATCGACGAGCTTGGCCACAGAGCTAGCCGTATGCTCTGGGTTACAGCACTGCTACTTGAAACCAACCTTAGCTGTGGGCAGGTCTATCCAGGACTGGAATTTAGACATTTCACATTATTGGAAATGTTATTTCCTGATATCAACATTAAAAAGTACACATGCCAAAAATATTAGTACTCAGGCTATTCAGTTGCAACAGAAAGTCCAGATTTCAGAAGTTGTGTTTAGATGTAAATATACTTATTTTCTTTTCTTAGGAGCTGATTAACAGACATTTAATAACAATGGCTCAGATTGATCAAGCAGATATGCCAGGTAAAATGCAAGTTGACTGATCCTTCCTTTTAAAGGAGAGTATAATCCTTATGTAGTCCTACATGTTTTTATGCCTTAAGCTAGCTAATTACTATTTTATGACTATATTTATTTGAAACCTACTTAAGAAGAATTCCAAGATGCCGTTGATCTAGTTTTTTTTCCAAAGAATTCTACATGTGACAAGATTCTAGTTCATCCAAAAACTAGGTAGTTTTAGAATTCATGATGATTTACCTCATCGTGCACTAGAACATTATTATCTCTTGAAACGATGAAGTGTAGGTACTTAAGTAGGGTTGGGGAGGTGAGTGTTACTATTATTGAGGCTGCGGCATATGCCAGACAGGCTACTAAGGCTCGCAAAACTCCTGTGGTATAGATACTAATATTATCACCTTCGTTTTACATATGAGGAAACTGAAGTTAACAGGCAGGTTAAGTAACTTGCCTCTAAGAACAAGTGGCTAGTAATTATCTGACCGAGTCAGGATTTAAACCTCAGTTTTTCTGACTGTACCATGATGTTTCTCAGCATTAAAATCTCTTTCC